ATAAATATCATTCTATATTTTTGCATATTTCACAATGTTTTCACCATGTATATAATTTTTACAATATTTCCACACGTTATTCCTACATTTCCACCAAAACTGACATTTTAAACCTTGGGTCAGAGAATGGCAGATTATTACTTGTTCTTGCTCTGTAAAGGAGGTCATTCTTGTTCATCCTGGGCCCATTGGTGAGGGAGACCTGGCCAGAACAAAGATCCTATTCCTTGAGAGTATCATGGTTTTTCATTACATGCAAGTCCAAGGTGTTAATGCTAAGGGTGAATCAGATCTTGATCATCTGGATCCCGGTTCCTTGAGACATTTCATTAGAGAGGCTAGATTTTTGTCTTTTTTCCTGAACTCCTTATTCCATTGGTGTTAAAATTAGCCAATTCCATGGTAGACAGATTAGTCAGGAAAGGCGTTAGAGACTATTTTTATATTGGGGCATTCTTCTCCATGCATAGATGAATTGCCTAAACATATGCAAGAGGCTATCTGTTGCAAGTTGAAGGGACTAGAAGGGCTAGGGGCATATCTAAAAGAACATGGGTTGAAGTAGTAACTAGTAAGAAATAATTTAAGTGCCCATAATTTAACAATCGATATGGCACGATGGGTTGGCAAGACAAGATCCATGTAGATGACCCCATATAGTTGGACAAGGCTTAGATGATGTTGATAATGATCTCTCTCTAGGCATAGGACTGGTCTTGTATTGCTTTGTGTTGCCCCCTCCTATTCCTAGAGGGGGCTGTTTCTGTTTCTTTTTTCATTTTGGGTTTTTGCTCTAGTCCTTTATTGTTGTTGAGTTTGGGGCCAATGTTAAGTTAGTTGGCCCAGCTTTGTTTTATTTTATTTATAGTTAGGAAGTTATTGGGCCTTAAGCTCATCAGCTTATGCTAGTTTAAGTTATGTCTTTTCAGCTACTTACTAATAGCCGACTTACTGAGGGTATTATTGTGCTTGTTCATTCTTTTTATGAAATATATAAATCAAAGGAAGGGGGCGGCCAGAACTAATTCTTTTTGGCGACCTCCCATTCTCTTCTACTTCTTCTTCTCTTTATTTCTCTCTTGCTGAAACCTTTCAGCTTCTATTTCTTTTCTTCACAAGGATCATATCAAAATCAACTTTCAGCAATTTCTATTATTGTACTCTAAAAAATCAAAATAAAAATTTGAATTTTTAATGGGTAATATCACTGTAAAAATCTCCAGAAAATTGTGACATTGGGAGTGACAGACTGGGAAAGTGAATACATGGCTAATCTAGAGTCCCTACTTCCAATCCACCTGGGTGACCAGTTTACCTCTCCAAGTAACCTATATGACCACAGTACCTGCATGTCGGCTTCTCCAGACAAGGGAAAGGGATTTGTGGTGGCCCCATGAAAATGCTTATGTTCAAGGTGTGCCTATATCAATGTTATGCCCAATCCCTTGCTTGTGCACATCCATGTTTTCACATGATTAGTATTTTTTACATCCAAACATGCAACCAAAGAGGTAAGTCTTTTGATATCTAATGTACCCAAATAAAATATAGTTGTTTTTCGTTGTAGAACAAGTGAACAAAGGAAAGTTAAAGACAGGAAATACAATAAATAATAATTCAAGAGTTCAAAGCTACTCAACAACAATCATGGGTCTCAAGTAAGTCATTATTTTCAATAATGATCAATGAATTCCTTCTTTGCAAGTAAATCCTCACATTTGAATAAGAAGAGTAATGCCATCATGAAAATTATAAGAAAATCATAGCACCTAAATAAGCTCCTTTGTTCAATCAAACATGAACTCTGAATTGATCATCAGACTATACAAATCATGGCTGTGGTTATCAGTCTTTGTGTTGGCATTACTATTAGACAAGTTTACGTATTCTCAGTTACAGTTTTAACTGTAACTGCATCTTTAGTCATTTGGTTACTCTGATTTATTTCATGTTGTAAGCATATTCGAAATTGACAGAACAAATGCTAATGTTGATGGCGGTACACAATACTGATACCATCTTTTACTTTACTATTGCAGAGGCCATCTCAAAGGGACCAGGATTCTATGTAGGAGAGTTCTTTATTGACACTTTAAGTGATGTTAAAGACACTTTCATATCATTCAGAGGCTGGGGTAAAGGGTTTGCATTCGTTAACAATATTAATATAGGAAGATTCTGGCCGGTAAAGATTTGCAATATATTTATATTTAGTATATGTATTTAGTTATTTGATTGTGCATAGACACCAAGTTATCTCTGCTTTTTTTTTGTATGGATTATTTTGCAGTTGGCTGGACCACAGTGCAACCTTTACGTCCCTGCTCCAGTTCTTCAACAAGGAGAAAATGTTCTGGTATGACAAACTATTTTCTTCTTATATGATGGATCTCTCTTTTGGATCGTTATACGTCCTAGTAGTCTGACATCAATAAGACATTTACTGAGATACTCTAATGCACTTTCCAGTTATCACCATGCCCTTGATCATGGTTTACAAATATAAACTTATGTTCTGAAACCATAAATGAATGGTTAGTGGATCCAATCTAGTTAGACAGTATCAATCCTGGTCAAACTGTTGGACATCATTTAACCTGAAAATTAGAATGAATAACTAAAATATGTTACTGTAAATTCAGTTTAGATTATCCCACTTTATATTGTTGAGCCTCAAAAGCACAAGCAGAATACAGCTACCTGGAATAATTTCAAACAAGGTCTAAGATTCATACCACTTTCGTCGAGGCTTAAGAAAATACATAGTTATTGGAATGACGAACAAACTAATCTGTCAGACATGTTTTATTGAGTTACATTCAATGCATCACAAATTCATTTGTCCAATTCCATCAAAATTTCTGTGTTTAAAGCCTTTGTGAAGCCAATCTTATCAATCAATGGTTAAATATGCTATCTCCACATAAAAAATGTTGACCAGAATTTTTAATTATAAACAGCAGGCTCCATTTTGGGTTGTTTTGAAGAGTTTAATATTCAGATAGAACTCCAATACATGGTAGGTGTACTCTTACAGCAGAAATTAAAGATGGCCATCCAAGAGGTTCTCCCCTATCTTTCCTCCTATGTGGCAGAAACAAGTGGGATCATCTAGCCATCTAGGAAGCTTCATTAATTGACCCAATTAGAAAACATTCTTACACATCACACACATTCAAAGCAATGTTTTCCAGTTGAATATTGTGACCTAATCTGGTTGTCATTGCACAGGTCATACTGGAAATAGAGGCTCCAAATCCTGAGCTTGTGGTTAATTCTGTTGATAAGCCAGATTTTACATGCAGCTGAAGCTTACATCAGCTATGACACTAATTATATCCATTCCACTAGTCAGCGTGTAGCATTACCCATTGGTAAGGGGAGAAGCTGGGGGACTCAGTCCAGTATCAATTGTTTTACTTCCTCTTTGTCCCAAGTGGCTAATTCCTAATTCCTCGTGTTTGTACTTTATTAGAGTCGCTCTTTTTCATTGAATGCTACTGTTTAGTACTTTTTGTTGTATGAAATTACACAGAAGTGACCCCTGCAAATGCACGGGTTGGTATCAAAATGCCTCATTATTTGATTCAGTTTTCTAATACAAAACGACACTGAAATGGTTGTGGGAAAGTTTAAGTGGCTCTATGAAATATAAAGCCACTTAAACTTTCCCACAACCACTTAAAATATGTAATAGTAGTCCATATATTTTTTAGTGTATTTAATATCAGATTTCTAAAAATATGGACTACTTCAATAGTTTATACTTTTAGAAAACATATCCAGGAATATTTTTTCTTCTTTTTCTTCATTATATTTATTTTGTTAAACTAATTTTCTAATCAAATGCATAGGATATTGGTTTAATATAAAATTAAATTTAGAAGGGATTAATAATATAGAATTTTTGGTTAGGAATGAGCCAACCTATTAATTAATTAATTTTTTAATATTATTAGAAATATAATGCTATTTTAATTTTTGTAGTAGTTTTTTCATATTAAATAAAATGTCTAATATAGTAAATAAATCATTGAATTAATACTAAACTAAATTAAGAGATAGTTAATAGGCATTTCAAATAAGCTCAGTTTCGAAAGAGTACAAAAGCAAATACATACAAAACAATACAAAATATAAGGTTTTGCACTCTACATATTTGCATTTGTACACCTTCCAAACTAAGCCTTAGTGACAATTGACTCCAACACGCCTTCATATTTGTATTTATAAAATACTAGCAGAGGGGCCCTGCTCCGCAAGGGCTGGATTGGAATTGTAATATTGCTATTTTCTACATTAAAAAAGACAATGTTTTTCTTAATAAGAAACTTGCAATTACAAGTACTCAAGTCTTAAAACTCATATAGAGACTTAAAAGAGATCACCATGTGCTCGTTTTATAAATATTGCTTCAACAAAGCATCTCATATAAAAGAACACAATCATAAAGTGATAGTTCTAAGTTCTACTTCATAGTTGTCCTTTGTTTCACATCGGGAACTCCTAGTTGACCCGAACGGTAGGACCATTTGGCCCAGGAACCGTCCAGGCAACTGGTTTCGTTTTACCCCAAACTTGGTCCCTGGTCAAAAATCGTTGAATCAGTCAACGATCCATTGACTTGAGTGGTCGAACCGTTGACTCATTGACCCATTCAGTGGTTTTTGGCCATTTTTTATTTTTTAATTTTTGTTGTTAGAGTGGGCCATCTGTTCGAACCAGGCGGTTGAACCATCGACATGGAAATCAGTGGCCAAAACGGTTCTGTTTCCGGGTTGTTTTTTCTAGATGTCAATAACTTGATGAAATAACTTTATAGTCATAGTTATGGGAAGGGTGGACATTGCAAGTGATTCCAAAACCTTGAAAGATAAATCCAAAGTGACCATAAACACAAAAAAAAAATGGTGGTAAATCCACCAAACTAAAAAAGCCAAGGAAAAAAATCAAAATATCGAGTTCTGCTTTGAGACGGAGCTAAACATACATGCAATCAAAGAAAGAGATAAAACAGATCGTCTTGTAAGAAAATTAAAAAAAAAACATTGCACAAGAAAACCCAAAGAAAAAACAAAAGGGAAGAAATAAAATGATGTTTAACCCTAGACTGTTTTGGAGGATCTTGAAGAAGACAAAACACAAAAAAAAAAAGCAGAAAATGAAAAAAATGAACATACTGCACACACTTGAATAAAGCCCATAGTAGAAGAAACCTTTGAATAGTGAAAATCCAAAAGCATAAAAGACCATAGTTTTCAAACCGTCGTTGACCCGGACGGATGGACATTTCGGCCCAGGAACCGTCTAGGCAACCTGTTTTGTTTTACCCCAATCTCGGTCCCTAGTAAAAAACCGTTGAATCGGTTAATGACCCATTGACTCGGACGGTCGAACCGTCGGCCCATTGACCCATTCAATGGTTTTTTGCCATTTTTTTATTTTTTTAATTGGGAACCATCCAAGAAATTGGTTTCGTAGTATCCCAATCCCGGTCCCTGGCCAAAAACCATTGAATCGGTCAACGACCCATTGACCCAGGCAGTCGAGCCGTCGACTTGTTGACTCGTTCAATGGTTTTTAGCCATTTTTTTTATTTTTTTTTAACTTTTGTTGTCAGAATGGGTTGTCTGTTCGAATCGGACGGTCGAACCAAAAATCGATGGCCATAATGGTTCCGCTTTTGGGTCGTATGAGTCATAAGCTCAAATGACATAACACGTATGATATTGCTTAGTGGACGTCACACATTCAATTTTTTTCTTGTAATTTTTGTTATCAGAATGGGTCGTTCGTTCAAACTAAACGGTCGAACCGCCATTTTTTTAATTGGGAACCGACTAACCGTCTAAGCAACCAGTTTCGATTTACCCTAATCCCGGTCCCTAGCCAAAAACCGTTGAATTAGTCAACAACCTTTGAATCGGTCAACAACTTATTGACCCGAGTGGTTGAACTATTGACCCACTCAATGGTTTTTGGCCATTTTTTATTTCTTTTAATTTTTGTTGTTAGAACGGGCTGTCTGTTCGAACCGAACGATCGAACCATCGACCTAAAAATCGGTGGCTAGAACGGTTCCGTTTTTAGGTCGTATGAGTCACACGCTCGAATGGCATAACACATATGATACTGCTTAATGGACCTCACACTCAATTTTTTGCCTGTAATTTTTATTGTTAGAACAAGTCGTCTGTTTAAATTGGATGGTCAAACCATCGACCCAAAATCGATGGCCATTCAAACCGATTGATGGAACCATATATATGTAAAATTATTGTTAATTATAAAATAACCATTATTTTATAAAAATAACCAAGGCTCTAGGAGCTGTTGTATTTGTTGCCTAGTTCTACGGTGAGATCACTGCCTTTGGGTATGTAGGTGTAGGCATGACTCTCTCTCTCTCATTGGAAAACTAATTTTTCCTCCTACATTTAATTGGCTAGCTCCATCACCTTTAGTAAGAGACATTTTGGAAAACCAAACGTCTCCATCATTTTATTGGCTCAATTTAGAATATGACATAAAAAAGAGAGAGGGTTAATATTGAGTTAATGTTAAGTGTGAAAATCTTTAAACGTGAATGGTTACTTAATTAATCTATTTAATTCTACAATTAGAAAATAGAAAAAAAAAGAAAAGATAAGTATTTTTGAGAAAAAAGCAGAAAAAAAATATAAATGCCTTTAGAAAGAACCCAAGAAGCAGGAAAGTGTCAGCTTGGCACATTGCCTTATGAGGCTTAAGAATGAAACTACTAGAAACTTCTTTAGTGTGAGTATGATTAACTAACCAATCTACAGATATATTTTCTTTCCTAAAGATATGACAATATTCCACCTTTCCTTCAAGTCTCTTGAACAAATCTTTGGAGTCTTCAATAATTGGTAGCACTCTCCGTAGGGGTTGATAGCTCTTTTCAAACAATCAATCATGAGCTTGGAATCTCCTTAAATGATGATGGACCTATTAAGAAAATTAAGGGTAACATTGTGGGCTCTCAAGCGGCTCAGGCCTTCGCAAAATTGATGGTAGATTTGCCTAACTTGTATGCTTTGAAGTCCAAGATAAGGCCCACATGATCCCATGCAACACAAGCAATTTGTATAGTTGTAATTGATATAAAAAGCATCAAAATTGATTTTAATTGCCTCATACTTAGTACTAGACCATCTAATAGGAATAACTTCTCTTTTTCTCTGCTCATTCCAGTCAAAATCCATGATAACTTGAATTTCTAAAAATGGATTTCGAACTCTTTCAATAATAATGGAGGGAAGCATATTCTTGTTATTAAACAAACTTTTATAGTGCCAATAAAATTATTAGGAATCCAAACAGATTCTCTCGTAATTAATCATACCTTCTTAGCTATCGGACCCATCAATATCCAGACCTCTCGAAATCAGTATTTTCTTAGGGAAGTTTTTTGTTGAGAAGCAGATATAGAAAACATTCATGTTTTGGAGTGGTATTCATACCCCATATTTTGTTGGTACCATTCAAAGGCCTCAAAGTATTTCCATGCATTAGGGAAGCCTCATTTTAGGCATTTTTAATAGAAAATTTATCTCTCATATTGGGTCTCCATATTTTTTTTTGTCCTCGATAACAAGACTACTAATTCTTGTTACACCCCAAGTGAGTCTCTCCATATCAATCACCTCAATGACTTTGAGGTCTACATTAGAAATTGTATCTTTATCTACCACATTGATCAAGGGTTCTCCATCAACCCAATTATCCATCCAATCAGAACCTAGTTGAGTTATCATTTCTAAAAACAACTCATATTTCTCTTTTAATTAGAGGATACCCTTCCATGCCTAAGAAAGACCTTTCCTACTGATCAATTCCGAAAAATTATTATTTCTTAAATATTTATGTATCACTACTTGAATCCAAAGATTATCTTTTTCATTTAGAATTCTCCAACCAAGCTTAGCCAATTTTTTTTATTAATCCATTAAAGATTTCTTTGACCCAAACATCCCCAATGTTTGGAGGTACAAGTTCATTGCTTCTTTTTTTTGTCTTTCCATCTATATTTTCTCCATTTATTTCTACCGTATGTTTTTCCTCCCTTACTATTAGAAAAATAGAGTATATACTAACTATAGATATCGTCTCTTTATATTCTTTCCCTTTTGCAAAAGTTGTATCACAGTTTTCCTTATGTTCCAGAAATGAAAAAGCTCATATGCTCTCCTTTGTTTTGGTCTTTTAGGATCAAGTACTATCCAGCATGCAGCAGAAGCTCGACGACCTGTGTGAGCAGCTGAATGCCATCAAAGAACGCCTTGAAATTGGGTCTGACATGTTGTTCACAAACAGCAAGGATTAAGGGAGTGTGTTACTGGCTTGGATACAGAAAAGAGATTTGCAAGTGGATCAAGTATGCCAGCAGAACAAGAATGAAAATGTGCCCACACCTGGGTTATTGCAACCGTTATCAACCCCAGAAAGAATTTGGTCAGATATTTCGATGGATTTCATCAAAGGCTTACCTCTCTCTCAACGCAAGTCTATAATTTTGGTGGTCGTGGATCGACTATCCAAATACGGGCATTTCTTACCCATGACCCAT